ATAATCTCAACTTTTTTGAAAAGTGAAAATGAGTCCCAAATAAATTATTAAAATGGTAATTAGCACATAATGTCCGTACATTTTACTATTATTGCGAAAAACATCCGTACCTTTTTTTTTTGCATTTTCTCTCTTAATTATAATTTGATAACGCAAACCATCAATTCTATCCATTTTCATCCAATTTCTCAATAAAAAACAATGGGATGACGAATATATCATCATATTTAAATAAAAAGGCAAAAGAATTAATTGCAACAATTGTCTAAATTTTTAAAAAAAGTGCAAACGAGTCCCTAATAAATTATTAAAAAAAATTAATTTTTTATGAAAAGTGCAAACGAATCCCAATTAAATTTATTTAAATTTTAAAAAATTAAAAAAAACTAAAAAGTGCAAATGAGTCCCGAATAAATTATTAAAGAATTAGAAGTTAAAAAATATTTTTTTTTATTTGAATATGAGAATATATTCATTATTTCACAGTTCTTTATTGCGAAAATAGATAGAAATGATGGTTCGCACTATCAAAATATAATTAAGGGAGAAAATGCCAAAAAAATAAAAGGTATGAATGTTTTTCACAATAATAGTGAAAGGTATGGACATTATGTACTAATTACCATTTTAATAATTTATTTGAGACTCATTTGCACTTTTCAAAAAAGTTGGGACTATGTTTGCAATTAGTTTTTTCTTTTCGCTTTTGTTTTATTTAAAGGAAATTGTATTTTCACCATTTCACAATTTTTAATTGAAAAAATAGATGAAAATGACCTTTTGCGCAATGAGAAACAAACGGGGGGCTAGGTTTACATTTAGAACCTGTTTGAGCCCATTAAAAGGTTAAAATGTATTTTGAAATAATAGATTAATGGCGAATGTGTAGCTAAAAAAATAAGAAAAAGTTTTGGATTTATATGTAATATTATTTTATTGAAAAATGTGTGATTAAAAAAAATGTATTTTGAAAAAAATGAAAATCAAAAAGGGGCTCAAGACAAATAAAGAGAGAGAAAATCACCAAAAATTATGACACAAATAATCGCGTGTAATCAATTAAGTGCACGGCATTTTCGTGCGTGTATATAGAACTGTGCACATTGGTTCTCACTCGCAACCCAAGTTGATTCTAAATATTGTGGTCTTTCTTAGCGACCAAGTCTATCTACTTCCACTCCAATTTATAACCATTTAAAAGAAGTCGTAATGTGCCTATCATATTAATATGCCGATTATAAAATACATATTATTTGTAGTAAAATAAAATGAAAATGACCTTTTGCGCAATGAAAGGTGGACATAGGGGAGAAAATTCCAAAAAATAAAAAGTATGGACGTTTTCCACAATAACAGTAAAAGATGTGGACGTTTTGTGTTAATTACCCATTTTTTTGTTACTTGTAAAATTATTTTATTGAATTATATGTGATTGAAAATGAATTTGAAAAAATTGGACTCAAACAAGGGCAGTGTTAGATATTATCGTTATTTTTCTTCTCATCTTCTTTCTCTGCCTGTCATCAGGTCTCACTTTCACTCTCATTTGTCTTAGAGCATAACGATATCGATTTTGATTTGACCCATATTTATTGTTATGATCAAAATATTGACTGCTGTGCAGAGACAAATAAATTCGTGTGCAAAGGCAACTTTCCTTATTCGATTGGAACTCTTTTAGAAACCAAATTGGACGTGATTTTCAACCAATTTTCAACTCCTACAAATACTAACATTACAATACATATTAGAAACCTCTCATATACATTTCATACTCCAATACTCACAAATTATTATTATCAAAGGAGGAAAAATTCATAATTTTTGTGAAAGAAATGAAGGAGACTTGCAAGAATTCAATCAAGTGAAGATTCAAACTTAATTTTTGGGCAAAAAAGATAAGACGCGAGTGGAGATTCATCAAGAAATCATTGAAGAGATTCAAGACTTCAAAATTCACAATTTATCAAAAATTCAGGTTATGTCTTTTCACTTAAATATGATTTTTTGTAATTTCAATATGTTAAGCTAATTTTATACATTGCTAAGATGAGATGAACCATTATTATGATATTTTTAGTTTTTAATTAATTATTTTAACTTTAATTTGATTTGATTTGATTTGTGGATGTTTGTTATTGTTTTTATTGTTTTTTTCAATTACTTGATCACCAATTGAATTGTTACTGAATTTTGTTGATATCTAGAGAGACAATAGTGTTTAAGAACATTATAATAAATATTGTAAGGTTCGATAGAAAATAGAGATATACCTCAATACTGTTGTTGACACACTAAAAGTGCAGCCCAAATTAAATGGCCCAAAGAACGAAGCCCAGTTGAGAATCCGAAATGAAAGCTCAAACAAAGGGTAAGCAGCCCACAAACAAAAGAACATTGTCGCCCAAACTTGCAGAACGCCCAAATGTTGAGAGAGTAAAATGCCTTATGGACGCCCAGAACGAAGGAGTCGTCACCCAAATTGTTGGATCGCCCAGAATCCTAACGATGACTAAACTCTGCGGTTATCTAAAAGTCACGGTTTGAGACAGTTTGAGAACATCACGATTACATCCCACGATTTGAGAAAATTAGTGACAAGCAGTTATNATGGTGCAAGTGGAGATTCATCATGAAATCATTGAAGAGATTCAAGATTCATCTTCATCTTCTCAATTAATCGAATATTTGTGTTATGTCCTTTCAGTTAAATATGATTTCTTATAATTTCGAAATGTTAGACTAATTTTATACATTGCTAGGAGGAGATGAACCATTGTTATGATATTTTTAGTTTTTAATTAATTATTTTGACTTTAATTTGATTTGATTTGTGGATCTATTATCGTTTTTATCGTTCTTTTCAATTGATTGATTAGCAATTGAATTGTTAGTGAATTTTTTTGTTATAAGAGAGACAATAAAGTTTAAACACATTATAATAAACATTGTAAGGTTCGATAGAGGATAGAGATATACATCTATGCTTTATATAGTTTCAATAGGTGTTCTAGTAATTGTTAATGCATTTTTCATGTTTGCATCTTTCGTTGAAAGATAGAATGGTCACATGAGGGGAATAGATTTGATCGTTATCAAGAGAGGTTTTCAATTAAATTAGGAACATTGACTAACACGAATAATTTCAAATTGTCACTTTAATTATTACGCTAAAAATGGAATAACAATAGAGATTCGACATCTTAGCAATGCATCTCCTATATTTGAAAAACACATTTACTCACTTTCATTAGTTTAATTGATAATTTAGAGATTAGTATAAAAAATTACAAAATTTGTTTACTATTCGATTAAAGTTGCAATTAATTTTAACTCGATCAAATACGTAGTACTTGTGGGTTCGACATTCCACACACTACTATAATTTTTGCTTACGATTTCGTTTACTTGTGGAAAAACAAACGATCAAGTACAAATTTTTAAAATTCATTTTTAATTATACATTTTCTTAATAAAATAATTTGACACGTGAAATTAATTTTTTATATTTTATTTTCTAAAAAAAAAAAAAACATTTTATTCAGGATCTATTCTTAACCAGTCAAATGTTATTTTAATTCTTTACAACAAAACAAGGAGAGACATATATCAACGTGACAGCACACTGTGTTAACATCTTTTCATGCAAGTGCTCGTACTGAAGTAATAATTCCACCCCTCCGCACTTTCTCAGCCACTGATTGGTTGAGTTAAAAATCAATTTTTATTAAATATTTATGAAAACAATTGAAAATTCGATAAAAAAAAAAATATGAATCATATGATATGTAATTAAAATTAATTATTTAATTAAAAATATTTTTTATTAATTTTTAGCTAAATTAGACAGGACCAAGTAATTATTTTTGGTAAGAAAAAAGAGACTCAATTTTGTTCTCGAAACGGATAAATTTCATTTGCGCTTACTGAACTTTCAATGAAATTTTTAATTGAATCACTAAACTTCAATTTTTATTTCAAATTTCACCACATTGATTAAAAAAATAAAATAAAATGCTGAATTGGCAATGATACTGTGTAACATATCTTTTAAATTTCAAGAGTACAAGACTTCCATTTTTAATTGCTCTGAATTTTGAGAATTGTCATGCAGTAATTAAGAAAACAGGATAACCAAACTATTAAACTTTAAATTAACTAATCGAATATAAGTCCTTATTTGACTTTAATTATTTCAATTTTTTTTTCTACATACTCATTTTGAACCACACATTCACATTATAAAATATTCTACATATAAACACAATTTTTTCCATATTTTTTAACTATATATTCTTCAAAAATTCACTATTCAAAACAATATTTTTCCAAAAAATACCACGAAACAGGGGATAAAAACCTTTAATCACATTCACGACGAATTTTTTTAAATACGAATTTGTTATCCATTCTATATGAAAGGAATATTCAAGTAAAGGGTTATTGGCGCAAAACGTCCCTACCTATGACTGTCCTTGTGGAAAACGTCCTTTTTTAGCAATAAAGGTGAAAGATAGGGACATTATATACCAATTATCGTTTCAATAATTTATTTATAACTCATTTGCACTTTTCAAAAAAATTGGAACTATAATTGCAATTAGTTTTTCCTTTTTCCATCATTGGTTTGTTATCCAACAACTATAAAAGGTAGCAATGGTTTAATTTAACCAAACCATGAAGTGTAGGTATTCAGTTTGCCAAATATTTTAAGGTTTACTGTGTTAAGAAGAGTCAATACTTTTCCACGAAATCAAAAATCTCAATAAATAATTGTCAACACCTTCCTATTATCCTACAGCACTATCTTACTACAAAGTTTAACACCAACAATGACAATGCTCAGTGTATTTTTCTTACATCATAATTTACTTGGGAGAAATCATAAGCTGATCCCTTATCCACTCTGTTGATGTGCAAGGAGTCAAAAAGACGAAAACCAAATAGAAATGATAAAACTTGACAGGTCTGTTACGAAAGAATTTACTTGTTGACGACGTTTAAGCAAATTCCGTTTTAATAGGCTTGTATTTCTCAGCCACTACACCACCTTTGTCCTTCTGGAATTGAATATACCGCAGTGTACTTGCAAAGAAAGCATCGGTAGCTGGATCAGGTGTTGTATTCTCACCGCTCGTCTCTTGTTTGATCAATTCGATCATACTCAGTATTGAATCAACGGTAACCTGCAACACCCCCTTCTCGTAGAAATAGAGATACCTAATAATACACAAAGATAAGGCATCTCAATTGAAGACCAGTTGGAAATATAACAAGGATGGCGTATGAAAAGGTTTTTTTAAGTAAATAGAAGAGTTGAATTCATCACTTGTTCAATATTTCTATAAAGAGTACGACTGATCCACTGCTCCCTCGAGTTGCATTAGCCATTTGTTGAGCGGCATTTGCAATTCTCAAGGCACGCTTTAAACAAAGCATGACCCTGGATATAGGATAAAATGAACAATCATGTAAGATGGAGAAAGAAGTTAAAAAGGCTAAACTAAGCCCCTGTTTGACATCCTTAAAATTTTAAAAACATAGTTTTGAATAGTATTTTTTGGTGAATGCGTGGTTAAAAAGTAGAGAAAAATTCTAGGTTTACGTGTAGAATATTTTATTGTGTGAATGTGTGATTGGAAATGAGTGAGAAATAAATTAAATTAGAGCGAGGGATGTTAAACGGGCTAAAATAGAATTATTTAAAATTTCAGAAACGTCCATATATGTGGCAAGCAGAATCACACACCTCTCCCCGTCTTTCATGTCATTGTTTTCGTCAAGCCAGAAAAGGTGTGAACATGCATATACAGCTCTGCACTGATCGGGCTTCTTCAATAGCTTTGAGGAATACTATAAAGAGAATTAGAGAAAATGGAGTTATAGAATACAAGTCCACACACTATTATTAGGTTACTAACAAAATAAATCTGCTACAAATAAAGACAATGTGCTAGGAGTAGGATTACTGTACCCCCGTGGCCTTGTGTGTTAATGTATCCCTGTTCTCAACACCAAAGACATGCATCCTCTGAAGAGTCCCAATTATCAGGTGTATGGAGGTCACCTGAGCTTTTGAATCCTATCACAATAATGAAATTAGACAACATGAAAAAGTTGTACCGTGGATGTGTCAAACTGAAAACTTTCCAAATTAATCAATCAATTTAGTGAACTTCAAAAATATAAGACAGGGAGACAGGGAAGCTAATACCGAGATTTCTTCTTCATACAAAATATAAGCTTGGGTAAAAAATTCATAGGCCACAGGTTCTAGATCACAGTCATTTGCAGCCTGATAATCAAAACCATAGAAGCAACAACAGGTAAGAAGAAATAAATGTCTCCCTTTATCTACCATGAGAGAAAGCGAAAAAGTACCTCAGCACATTGCAGATACAACCGTAGTGCTAGTTCAGGAACTGGAACACTTGATAAAGCCTCAATTGTCTACAACAAAGAGGTGATCAAAATGGCTAAACTGGATACCAACTGCATAAAGCGATAGTAGAAAATTTTCCAACTGGCATATCATGCTGAAAAGATCCATATTAACTTAGCTGTGACTAACGGAAGAGCAAAGAAAAATTGAAGAGAGCTACCAAAAATGTGGAGCATAGGAACTTGCCAAAAGACATCTGCTGTAAGAAAAGAAGCCCAAAATATTTTGTGCAAATTCCAAGAGTTCAATAGCAAATAAATTTTGCAAATGTTTTGGGCAGAAACAAACAGAAGCATAGACGTTTAAGATGGTAGACAGAGAGCTAAGACCATTAAAATGTTATATGTACTGAAGGTTTCAACTAAGTACCTGCATCAAAATCTGAAAGATATCCTTTGGTGTAGCTGCTACCTCTTCTCCAGATACGTTTTTGTTCTGACTTTGCAGTCGCCTAACCAACTGCACATGAAAGGTAAAATCAAATCAGAAAGCGCACTAACATCAAGTCAACGGTGAATTGCATCCTTTCCTTTTCTCTTCATTTTGCATAAAATTGCTGTTTGTTATTTTTGTTTCCTCCCATTTGAGGAGTGACACCTGCGAATGCATCACACCTTACAATTCAAAATTTACACATCGAATCATTTTTAACCATGAACATAAAATTTGCCTTTTTTCCTGTATCACTCTGTATCTCCATCATAATAATGCAATAACGTTGGCACCAACAAATATCCACATCAAAGAAGCACAACCAGGAAGTCCACTCATACTTTGGGCTGATCTGATTCACGGATGTGATGGGACATGATAAAAATCTGAGGACTATATTTGTACAATTTTTTATCAAGGAAATTTTATGATTATCTAGCATTTGAATTGTTGAATACTTACTAGGGACGAGAACGCAAAATTATTATTTCAGTAATTAACCTTCTTATTCCTCTTCTAATCCCTTACACTCAACCACCCACCCCCAAAAAAAGAAGAAGAGAGAAGTGTATCAGCCACTGCCTCATCTCCTCTGCCCTCCATACATGGGATCAAAGAAGCAATAAGATCCCAACCAATATGCATAGAGAGATTTAGCAAAATAAATAAATAGCATAGAAAGATAGAAAATTTTGGACACGATAGAAAAGTATCACATTTTACGGAACTAAAACAAAATTCTAGTTTTTCAAGTTCTATTTTCTCTATTTGGGTTTTGGAGGTGGACTGATAATTCCGATGGTGGATGGTAGTATCATTATTGTTGTGATGGGCTAAGTGGCCATGTGGATAAAGTGGTGGATGACCCTGGTGATTGGAGAAGGGGGACGGGAGTTATGGAGTTGAGGGATGGTGACCAAGCCGGGGGAAGGGGAAGAGAATTGGACGCTGGAGGATAGACTGAAGGCTGGGGAAAGGGTGGGTGGCAGAAATTGGCGAAGACGGTTGATAGGAAATGGGGAGAGGAAGAAAATATAATATTAAGCATGTAAGAATTTGACCGAACAACCATGAGTAAATTAGCCTTTCTATATCTGATTGCAGAAGTTTCCTGAACAAAGCTCTTATCTGGTTAGATAACCAATTCAATGTAGTGTATGTAAAATTTAATAAACTCTTACATACTTCTCCTTAAAATGGCTTGCGCCCTACATCTGTTATCTTAAGAAATGAAAGAAGTGCTACAGAAACAAATATAGAACTACAATTTTCTCATGGATTCATGGCAGTCAGTGCCATCAACTGTTCAACTCCTTTCACGCTACAAAAATAAATATATGTTTTCATGATGTTTCATTGATGAATCTTTGGGAGAATATGGATGATTGACATTGAAACTAAGAAAGAACAGAGGCTGATTAGTTGGTTTTTACATAGAAAATTCTAAACATTAGAAATATGATTGGCACGTGAAGAGATTGTGTGTCTTATAACAGGTTAACTTTGCCTGGAAAAGGAACAAATACTCGCATTCTACCTAAAGGTTGAAAACATTCACGTAGCTGACAAATTGCAGGATGCATGCCTCCATCTACATGGTTAAATTCTCTTTACAACAAAAGCATAGAGTAATTAGTATAGGATTTCGCGCCCCTCTTCCTTCAGATCAGAATCCATTATTTAATAGTTACAGCTAAAATATGATTCTGATATCATATCCACATATGTTCATAGGCATCCTTGGACTTCTGAATTACAACAAAACAAGTAGTTACAGGAATCGTTATAATCTTTATGCTCACTAGGACAAGCATGACAAAGAAATTGATAATATAAGCTGAAAGGTAAATGTTATACTGATAATATAAGCTGAAAGGCAAATGTTATACCTTTAAAGCACTAAAGGTAAAAGGTGGAACAGTAAACGGAAGCCTCTTTGGTCCTCCAGTCATAATATGCTTCCTCACAGTATGAATGATCTGGAAATTCAACCAGCAAATAAAGGTTAACAGAAATATATAAACATGAAAATGCAGACCAAGTCAGATTCAACCTTTTTTTCTGCAAACCAATTCACGAAATATTGTTGGCCAAGGCAACAGAAATTGGTCAACGACCTCATTTAAAAGCTAAAGCTAATAGAAAGGGGCACATTTATATACATAATTTACTAAATTTAGCCTTCAACACGCCCCTTCACATGCAGAATGGATTCATTTTTCATCAAAGACCTAGCACGTGCAAATATTTTCATAAGTGGGTAAGGGTGAGAATATAACCTATGGTCTTTACCTCGTTAAACCACCTAACTTAAAAAGTTAAGCAGTTAGAAAGTGAAAACAGAAGACACGGCCGTTTCCAGGTTGCAGGGCACACAAGAAAGAATATAATTTGGAAAACAAATAAGCATAAAAGAAATAAACAAAAGAAATTAGCAAATCATATGAAAGGAAAATGCCAACATTTAAAATTGAATGACTACACTGTTAAGAATAAAAATTTTGCCCTTCTAAGAGGAATATCAGCTCTAACAATTCCATTTCCGTCTACCAAAACGACTGAGAATGTTTCAAAAAAAGTAGGCATATAGCTTCCAGTAGACAGCCAAGACAGCAACGGGTTTTCTGCCCCTGCAGGGATGGATTGACAAAACTAACAGACCTTTTTAGACGAGATTGTGAAGCTTGACAAATTTTCAGTCCTTAAATTTAGTCAAAATGAGCCGGTGTAGAGGAAGTATCATCTCGGTAGAGGTAAATGGAGTTCAGAATATAAACTATGAGACTTTTTTTAGTTAGGTGTCCCATATCATCTCAGTAGAGGTAATTCAACCAGTAAATGAAGCTTCAGATATTTAGCAATGTAGTAGACACAAAAAGTACTATATCCTAACAGATTAAGGTAATGATCTTGTTTAAAGATCATATTTAAAAGTCTTGCTGACTCCCACAACATGAAATTTGTGAGTTTACACTTTGGACTATAGGCATGCTTTAAGTCCAGTTGAAGGAAAACATAATAATTTTGTGATCATCAGCCAAGTACCAAGGTACTCAGGGACAGTGCCACAGGGCTGCACACGTGTCAAAGCCCCTCTCAGATAACAGGAAAACTTGTTTCAGTGAAACTAAAGGCCAAATAATTGTTGCAGTGGACGACTTTTGTAGAGCACATAGAAATAAATTCAACTAACAAAGTCTTATCCTTTACCCATAAAAGGTCGTCCATGTAGATCCATTTCTCCACTCCACTCTATCAAGGGCCACCACCAAAAATAAACCACAATATTTTCAAATCATTTCAAACTTAGCATTAGTACTAGTCCCATATCTATTAAATGTGCTTCAAGTAGCCTCTTTCGATGTAAATAAACTATCACTATCAGTCCAAACGTAATTTATCTTCAACAGTGACACCTTAGCCAACTCGTGAATATGATAATTTATTACCCCATTACCACACATCCATCTTAGCATCCTCATCTATACCACAACCAATTTGTTCTTGACAAGCCAACATTCAATCTCTTACCAGTGATTTAGCTTTAGTGGTACTATTTGCATCGCTATGCTTACCCAGCGTTTCTAGCATCCTTCTTTGGATGCAATTAAACTGTCACAATCAGTCCAAAACGCAATTTATCTTGAACATGGCACCGTAGCCAGCTCGTGAATATGATAATTTATTAATTATTACTCCATCAAGACTCGTCTTATTTTACCACGTCAATATTAGAATTCTCATCTCTGCCACAACCAATTAGTGAAGATGTTTCTTGATAAGCCAACATTCAATTGCAGTTCTTACAACAATGCTGTACAATTCATCCATAACAGGTCCCAGAGCCATTCCTGCACTTAATACTACCAAGCTTAATTCTTTGGGTAACCTTGTCTCCACTTAGCCCTCATAGGTACTAGCGTACTGTGAACGCTCACATTCTTAGGCACACCATGATATCAATCTCTAGTACCTCGTCGCAAGTATGACTAAAATTAAACCAAACTCTCCTATTCCTCTAACTTATAAATGAGATATAAGCTTAAGAGAGCCATGCAATGCGAGTATCAAAAATTTATAATCGAGCCAAATGTTAGCAAAGACAGAAGACAACAGTCTCTAAAATCACCGAATTGGAGCATGGACAATGATTTGAAAAACAAAAAATTGTTATTACTTTCATCATCTCTTCTGTATCATCAGTATACAACATTTGAATAAGCCGTGCAACAGAATTCTGCTCCTCTTCGAAATCATCCTCATCAAGCTGAAAATAAAAGGAAAGTGGATAAATAAAGAATAAAAGAATATAAAGACAGTTCATCGGGAGTGAATTATCTCAAGAACCTAAATAAAAGAAAGATAATATAACTAAAGATGGAAACATTTATCGATCGAAGCCACATATAATTAACTTAACAGAGCATCTTCAAGTCACCTCATCTTGAAGATTTTCATTTATGTCCTTAATGAGCCCCTTAATCAATTCAAAGAGTGCCTCTACCTATAAAGACCAACAATCCGTGTCATAAAAATGTAAAACATCAAACAACTAAATGTAAGCATATAGAAGTGTATACCTTCTCGGCAGTTGAAATGCAGGTCCTATTTTTCAATATACTTTGAATAATAACATTAGACATCTCTTTATTTGTTCCAATATCTAGGTATTCCATGACCTGGGGATAGTTCGAGAGCTTCAATGCAGTATCTATATCTTTATATTTCTCAAGTGGAGCACTTAGAAGTGCAACAATCTGTTTTGTTGCTTTACTATCATCAAGTTTTCCTTTTCCAGAAAGTTTCTTAACACATGCTCCCTGCAAGGGTAATGAAGAGAATCAGTTGGTGGCAATTATACAAACATATACTTTTCATATATTAACTATGTAATTTTGGATTTTATAATTTTGTGCCCCGGCTTTAACTTTTTGGTCAAATTTCTTAGCACACAAGGTTTAACTTAGTAATTTTGGCTCTAAAACTTTTCACCCTTTTTATCAATTACTCTCTCTCTCTCTCACACACACACACACGTGCGCGTGCAAAACTATATGAACTTTTGAATTATGGATTCACAGCAAAATCCACCATATGTTTTAATTTGGTTGCACTGACGTTGGTTTTTTCCATACCGATCTAAAGTACTCTTTTATGTTTTTTATCCTACAAATCTTTCTCTGGAAGTTGTGATTTTATTCCTTTTCAATTGGATTGTTTGTGGAATTATTGTACATAATATACTTCTGGTGATTTGGTTTGAGGAAATTGGAGAAAAAGTCCGTGTTTATTCAGGTAAAACTACAAAGTCACGAAAGGCCATTTTGATTTCAGAAAATTCTGGAAAGGGCAAAAGATCGAATTCTGGATAGTGGGGTTTGCTTGTTTTGGTTTATTTATTTGCAAAGAATTTTACATTGATTTAGCAAAAATATTTTCTGTAAAGAGCGTTTTATGATGTCTCCAAGGGATAAATTGCAGACAGAGAATGTCAAATTCCGTAATAGCATGTTAGGTGTATTGTACTTGACAGTATTGGACATGATTAGAGTTTTTCCATTGAATTTGCCATCAATTGATGGGAAAAGTTGGGTCTATATTGTCATTATAGTTAGCTGTTTGATAATTTTTTCCATATCTTGAAATTATAATTTATATTAATAACACTTCATTTGCCCCCATAATTCAAAGATACTGGCTCTGCCACTGGGAAAAACTAATTTCTGGATCTGCATTATTGTTTAGGCTCCTGTTGGTTTAAGGAGAAGCGAAAAATATAAATACTTTACGAGGAGAATAAAGGGAAATGTGTGAACTCTTACAAAAATTACTTGTCGTACAACTTATTTAGCATTCTATACCATCCCCTCATCCAATTGAAGAAGTTGAGAATTTTCCCTTCCCTTCCCTTCCCCAAGCTGAACGAGCATTATGATAATCTCATCATATATACCACGTCTATATGAAAATACAACATACCAGTATTTGGTCGACATAATCAAGCCGATCAGGATGTACATGAAGAGTAAATGTCAAAAGAGATGCATATAGAGTTACTGCACCATAAATTGGCATGTCATCCTGTGCTTCTATAACCTGCATTCAGTAATAAGCGTCAACAAGAAAGAGAAAAAAAATTAAAATATTAAGCCCCAAGTGGAAATCATCGAAAGGTGGAGATTTATCCGATTGACGCCATTTCGCCAATGTAAAAGAGAAAAATAAATGGAGTCAAGATATGCAACATATATGAACTAAAATAGCATAAAAAAGAAACAAAATGAAGCTCAAGAATCTAGAACATTTCTCATGCTTGCATTATGAGGCACATCTATTTTAAGCAAACACAAACATAAAACTGCAATCTGAAAGATCAGATCAAGCCAAAAGACTACTTAAACATTGACAAATGACTTAATTTCACATAATTGGCTTCCCATAGTGCATCTATCCTTGCCATTGGCAAACATTGAATCTTACACAAAAATAAAAAGTTAGTACCAGAAGAGAGAAAATTCTCATTTGATCATCCACCTTAATGCTCCTTAATTGGAGCATTGGTTTCTGATCTTATACATGAAGTGCAAATGCTCAAGTATATTAACAAAATCGAACACCTTAAATCATCGTCATCAGGTCTTACAATATGTAGATTTCAGAAGGAGAACCAGGTTACCTTGCCTATGGCATTGTTTAGCTTTGCAAAAGCTTCTACTTGAAAAAATATGGGTAAGACCTGCATTAACAATTTTTCAGTAAAAATAGTTTAACATCAAAATTTCTGAAACTTTGACAAGCTACTTACTTCTGCAGAAGAAGCAGCATAATTTGAAAGCCTCTCCATTAGTCGAGCAAGAACCATTTTTATGTCAACAGATGGCTGAAAGAGACAAAGCACGTACAAAAGAAAATTAAACAACATTTAAATGAAAACCACTATAGCATTAGATGGATGCTACAGATCTACAACTTTTAGGAAATGTAGTGCTCATCGAATACTGCAATAGCATGGATCAACCTGAAGCTGAGGGCAAGCACCCAATAATGTTTCAAGAGTCTGCAAGTGGTATTCATCGGGGAAGACTTGAATTACGCAATCCATCAAATAATATTGGGCAATCTCATCTTTACAGTTGACAACCTGAAGCCACAGTAGAGGTCCATATTTTACAGTATTACACCAACAGTGAAAAATAATCTAAACAAAGAAGGCAAAATACCTGCTCCAACACTCTTGGAAGAACAGTTTCTCTATACATATCAAGGTCAACACCCTCAATCTGACCGAGAACGTGAAGGTTCTTTCCAACCTAACCAAAAGCCGATGAACAAAAAAAATCTTGCATAAGTGTGCACAGTGCTGCTTTTCAAAAATTATAAACCAATTCAGACTCCTGAGTTTACAAGATCACGAAGCTCGCTCCTTTCTTTTTCCCGCTTCTCCTTCTCCCGAGCAGGTCCCTGCAGTTCAGAAAGTCCAATTGCAAGCCTCAGCTCATGATCAGCATGATGTATGAATTTTCCCAACAAAAAAAATGGCATGAAAACAAATAGTGCACTCATGATTAAGAACATGTTTGGGGTGGCTTATTCTTAAAAAAAAGCACCAAATATGTGATCTGTTTTCAACTGGGCCCACCTCATTCAAAATAAGCCACATATTTGGTCATGGCATCTAAGAACTGTAGTCCCGTCCATGGTTCATATAAAAGTAGATAGTGAAGTGCACAGTTTCTCAACTCACCTGATGTTGCATTCGAACCCAAAGTTTGTTCATCTCTGTAAAATTTTGGAGAACAAATTCAACAGCATCCATAGCAGTATCAGCATCCCTGTAAGAATTAAGGAACAAAACAGCAAATGAGGTCTAAAAACAGTTCCAAAAGAATTATTACATCACATGTTAACATACATTTGATATTAACGAGTACTAACTTGTGATAATTAAAAACATGCATAAACACACAGCGAGTGGAGAGAGTATTTAATGCATACAACAAAAGTTCAATACATCTGCATATTTAAGGAATATCAGGAGCAAAATCTTTTCACTTTGGAATATAAAGCTAAGAAGATGTGTAGTTTATTAAGACAAAAGGCATAATTTGATTCTCTTAGATTAATTAAATAATTAATTTCAGAAATTGCCTGACTAACAGAGATTTGGATAGAATCCTTATATGCAACAACAGAACTTTATATTGCCACGTGCTTATATTAAATTGTACTGAACTACTAAAGAACAGGATGATCATAGACCTGAGTTATAGAGGTTCCATGAATAAAAGTCCTGGGAAATCAATTTCTGTTACGTGGGAATGTCTGACGATTGTATATCTTTAAGGTGCCTAATTTGAGTAGTTTTGGAAGGAAAGCACCCAAAGCCAAAGATTCGAAGCCGATATGTCAAAAATGATGCAAAACTAAATGCATTATGCAAAGTAAAGATTCAAGATGCAACAGCCAGATAGTTTTTTTAAACCAAGCTATAATACCTTGTAGGTTCTTATCCTAAATGTATGAAGAAGCCCATAATGACCGTTCATATTCTTACCCTTCATACTCTGAACCAATATCAGGCAATTTATCCCTACTGACTTGAGAAAGATAACTCCGCAAAAAGAGCCCACGAACGGGATGCTGTATGCCACGACACATTTCTATAAGATCCTTGAGAACATCCTTCGCGGGAGCTTCTTTTGATCTTATGTATACAGAGCCCACTGTGCAAAGCAAATACCTTAGAGACAAAAACATGTCAATAAGAACAATGACCAATTAATCCATAGTGGAGACAAGTCGTCGATGCTTAAAGTCGTAAAACAACAATCTAACACCACAAAACTCATGAATATATTTCCTAAAGGATATGATATGATCCTTTTTTCCATTGGGAAGTTCACATAAATAAACTACATAATTGAGAACTATAGTAAAAACAAATAGCATTCTATTACTCTTCCTTCTACAGGATATTTAATTCTATGAATAAACAACAGCCATGAATTTACAAGCATATTCCAACATCAAAATCACAGTACAAAAGTAAACTGTAGAAAATCTGTATTGCTAAAAACAAGTTCCTACTTACAATCTAGGCAAAATGTTGCCAGCATGTTGGACGAGCTCATACAGCTCAACAATGGAGCAACCACGATTGGCCTCCTCCTTGAAGAATATTTCCAGTTTCCTCAATTCGTCAAATGCCCTCATATCTACACCCAAATTTTGATTGGGAATTAAAAAAAATTAACAATTGATACACAATTAATCAAAAAACAGTATAATTATCAGATGAAACCGAAATTCTAATTCGATTGCATACAAAGCTCGTAGTATTTGTGAGGGGAAAGCCTCGAAGTGCGGAGTTCTGACAACATCTGAGCTGAGTACTTGAGTGCATCCTTCAAATTATTCGAATCCTGAAATTCAAAACCAACTCCAAAAATTCAAAACTAGGATTTCCTTCCCCAAGCAATACACAGTACACATATATGAAGATGCAGTATATGCATATATATATGGCCCGTATTTGAGGTTAGTTGATATGTACAAGTGCTCGATGCATGAAAAAGGCGTTCTGTTGAAGACCGGCGATCCCAGCTGAAAGCCATTTCTCTTCGTCTTCTGCTACGCCGGCGATCATCTTCTCTCAATTTATATTATTTTTCTTTTATGCAGTGGTGGAATTTATTTCGAATTTGGGTTTAGTTTACGACTTATACAGAAACTGCCGGTCAGTCTCTGCACGATATTTGGGTTCTGCCTCGAGCGTACGGTGCCGTTTCAGTAAATACAAATTATAAATTAATGTTTGAAATAGCTAAGGAAGTACCCAAACTTTGACGCGTTTAGCATATTCATCCCCAATCTTTATAACGTAGCATATACACTTTCAATAAACAAAAAAAAAAAAAAAATTAAATTATTCTTCACTGCACCGCAACCTACGTCTCAAGTCATGGCAAATACCACTACTGCCAATCACTTTGACATGCTCTTGGCCGGAAGAAAAATATATTTTTTATTTTATTTTCATTCTTGTTTTTTATTTATTTTTTGTGTATTTGAAGATAAGGGTAAAAATATATTGTACTAAAATTTCTGGTGATTATATTGGCACTACAATATTTTGTTGTTGGATCACTTTTTAAATGTATTTAGTAATGACAATATTCGGCCATGACGTGTAACGCATCATCTTATCCCGAATTTCTCTAACTCATCCCAAATCTTTTTATTTTAATTTAATTTTACGCTTCTCAATCTAAATAGTATTTAGAAAATAAAAAACACTATAAACAAATATACTTAATAAAATGGGGAAGTTATCCATCTCGCCTCCCGAAAAGTCCCGAACAATGAAGGAAGGGGATGGGGATTGTCATCAGCCCATCCTACCCCGTTGCCATTTCAAATTGTATTAAAGATTCTCATTTTTTGCTAATTATTTCACTTATTTTCTAAAGAGACATGCTACAGGTACATGAATTTACCTGTCAGAACACAGACATCAGGGGTGCGTGTGTGGGGGGTGGGGTCTGTTGCCAATATTTTAATTCACATGGGGCCCACCCTATGAGAGTGAAATTCAAAAATTTGTATTAATTCTGTTATTTTTTCCCTATACTCACAACAATTTTCTATTCTAAACTTTATTGGCACATAGTCCAATAGATTGCCCTTTAGAAATGTTTGATAATACTTCAATTAGAATGTCAAGTTTATGCAGAAGTTAAGTGTTGATTCTGTGTTCGCAAGGCATCTACATATTCCGATTGAAATGTTCGGTTAATCAGAAAATCTTAACCTTTCTTGAAGCATTTTCATATTTTCCAAGTTAGAGTTCAATCATCTTTTCAAACCTTGAATTTGAAACTAACCTCATTGATATCAATTATGAATTAAAAGACACTAAACTCATCCGCTCAATGGTTTGATAGAATAATAGTTAGACCACCAAACCAAGACCTCATACTCTGCCCATAGTATTAGAAACTTTGAATGCAAAATGTAATTATGTAAAGACTATTCTATGATATCACCCTTGAGAGATACGAGAACAAGGCATCAACTATTCTTTAGGAATTGGATGACCTGACCTATCCGTGTAGAGGGTTAATATGACGAAAGGATAGATGTCAAAAATTCACATTATAGAGACAACTTATAGCAATTAAGGGATTGCTTACTTGGGAACTCGATGTTAAAATTGCTTTATTGTACGGTGCACTTGATGAAAAGATATTTATGAATGAACCACAAGGTTTAGAATAGTATTCCATGTAGTGGTGCAAAAGTTTCGATACATTTGTCCTAGTTATTGATTTTCAAATAAGTCGATTTAATCTTTACTTGTACATTCAACATAATGGTGCTAATAATGACTCTATGTTCTTAACCTTGAGGGGTTGCTCAATTGGTCAGACCTTGAGTTGTAAAACCTTGCTCCCTAATGATCACCAATTTGAGTCCCCTCAGGACCACTGAAGTGAGTATCCGACCGTAAATTTCAGGGTCTCTTGGAATTAGTCGAGGTGCGCGCAAGTTGGCCCAAACATTCACGGTTATAATAATAATAATAATAATAATAATAATAATAATAATAATGACTCTATGTTCTTACTATTGTATATTGATATATAATCTTGATTTGTTATTGCATGAAGTTGAAGGATTTTGCACATACAGACTATGCAATAGAAATTTAATTCTTCTTATATGTTTACTTTGTGTAATTCTTGTATTAGTTGGAAGTCTCAACTTCAACACTTTGTTGCAATATCCATTACCAAATATGGATAAATTACTACAACCGAAGCAATTAAAGCATCTTTACAGCTTAAAGGTTTGTTTAAAGAACTATGTATGATGATGGTGTGGTTGTGTATTTCAAGTCAATTTGCAATACATTTGTATAAAACCATATTTTCAATAATACAATTCATAGTCAGCGAATGCAGTTGTCATCTTATATAAAAACTTGTTATTTGAGGGATTAACTTATTGTTTGAAGTAACAGAATTAAGGGAAATTAATTCTTCAAATAACAAATTACCACATAAAATGATCATTACAATCACTCACTATGAATAGTATTATTCTATTTTTCATGAACATGCTAGTGATTGTGTGGTTGTGTATTTCATGAACATATTGATGGTTGGTTACATTTTATTAGAGATACTGTCTAAAAGATTTGGTAAGACTTGCGAAAGTTCTTTCACAATATCAAAAAGGTATTGTCCCTAGTAAAGTTCAGAAGTTGTTTAATGATATCATGAGTGAACACAAAACAAACTCCCAAATGTATATAAGTGATCTAAGAGATTGTCATTTACTCCATTTGTAACATAATTTCCCAAATCTGACTGATAAATAATGAATTTCCCTCTATTTGGCTTCCATTTCTTATAACTCACTGTCAATCAACAATTTTATGAAATTCACAACTTTTATCAACTTTTTGACCACACATTTCACCAACATTTATCAAAAAACTACTAAAAATCTAATTGTTATCTAAATCAAACAAGGGCAAATGTCAAATTAGGGTGTAGAGCAGCATAAGTCACACATTTGTATCCAAACCTCGGAATCTTAGATAGTGATTTGCTCAAACAAATTAAAACATCAAACTATACTAACCGGCAGATTATAATTAAGATTAATCCAAGAGGGAAAGACAACAAAAGAACCAAAAATCCCTCATTCTTCAACGCCAACTCAAGATGAGATTAGCAGATAGGAATAGAGTACAAGGTAGAGCATAGAACTATACAAGAAACAAACCTTTTTACATTATTAGCATAAAAAACTAAATTCTTCTAAACCTGTTGCAATCCTTTAGTTCGAAAATTCTAACACTGCCCTTAAAAATAACTACACTGCACCCTGTCGACTCCACAGTTCCAACTACTATCAATCTAAAGAAAAAGGATAGACTTTTTACTATTCACATGATAAAAACCACAAAAGAAATCAAAGCAGTTTGTTTTGAGCAACAGCCTGGCACAGTTCATCCTCAGAAAATAGGACTCTATTAGAAGCCAATGATCTGCAGAGTGGCTTTGGTAAAACTGAAGGCACCAAGCACGTTGAAGGAAAAGAGGAGTCCTGGAAAAGAACAGCTGCAATTTGCCGCATCTCAGTAATCTTCATGACACGGGGAGGGCGGGGACCATGCTTTGGTGCCTTGGGAGTGTGTGGGCTGGAAATCAACCTACACTTTCCATGTCTTTTGCTGCAAGTGAACTTCAGCATATCAGGATATTGGATGTAGGAAGATTACATTGTGAGAGTCAAAATGCTTACCTCACGAAAGGCCAATGATCAATGGGGCGCGGAGTCATTAACTTCAGCATCTCTTGCCGAGTGCGATCAGGTGTGGTGTAATTAAAATGTGACTGCCTTGCAATAATAACCTATCACAATCAAATAAGAATTAGATATCCTCATCTCAGTTCGCATGGATAACAAAACTGAGGGAAGCAGTGAGTGTACACTTACTGCCTTCCTTAATTTCTGAGAGACATGGAAAACTGCTTTAAGTTGATCGTGGTGCAGGAAGCAAATTATATTCACCTCAACAAAACAACAAAAAAGAGTTAGTTATAAATTACCGGAAAGGAAGGTAAAATATAGCAAAACAAACAAAACAATTCTTGCGGTGAATTTCTTCATTGATAAATCACGAAAATCATAGCAATGATTGACAATATTACATGTGATTTTTGAGCAGTGCACTAATATTAAACAACTAAGAAAAAGATCCCACTCAAGACGTGGTGCATTTCTGGAGGAAAAACATGTAGATATTATGGATTCTTGTTTAAATTGGGAAAAGAAATCATTGCAAGTAGTTATCATGCGATGTTTCTCTTTCTAATGGTCAATTGAACAAGATGTCAGGACTAGAGCCTCAGCTCATTTACTAATGTACAACTGAGACATAAATTGCACCAAATACTTGTAGACAATTCTGCCCAGGAATCCTAGCACAGTTCAAAATGAAACACTCATTCAAAAATCATTCGCAGTTATCACTTTTGGCCTTCTGACTAGTCATTTGTATGCAACTCTGCAATATAAAGGTCTTCATCATAGACATGTGTAATGAAGACATGATTACGTTCGCATACATACTGATCATAAAGGAGAACAACCAACAAGAATGATCAGAATGAAAAAGAACAGCTTTTCAAAATGTCAAGTTTAAATCATCAGCCAAGAATACTAAAAAAATCAAATATTTTACTACAAATTTCTAAAAAACTTCGTATGCAGTTGATGAACACGAGTAACTCAATCAAACTGTAGTGAGTCAGGAAACAGCACACAAGTCTGTATGGACTTCTCTGAAGTGCCATATCAATGTATTTCATACTAGCAAATGAGTATAAATTTGAATTGAGTAGGTTGAAGATAAGTCATACCAGCAAATCATTTGGGAGAGACTCAAGCCTGGACTCCGACTGATATTCTCCCGCACAAGGAGTCTTTGGGGTGTTATGCAAATTATTCAGCCTGAACAGGGGAGTGCTCTTTGGGGTATTCTGCAAATTATTCTGCCCAGGCTCATCAGTGGCTCCACTCACTGAAGCAAATCCAAACTTCACAGGCGATAAAATAGTTGGACTTGTATCGGCGATTTTATTTTGACAAATCTCTGCATCATCATTTCCTGTCTGGTCGGCATTCAGCACGGCCACCCTTTTCTTCCCAATATCCGTACAAGATTTAGCAGCCGACGCCTTATTATACCGAAGTTGGCCAAGGGCACCAGGCTTCAGATACTTCTTGTTTCCATTTTTCAACCGCCTTTTCTGTCTTCCATTTTTGGATTCCCTTTCATATAGAGAAACCTTCCCCATACTTTTGACCTATATACTGTCAATTTTCACTAATCTCAATTGCTTTCATTATAATCGCAGTCTTTCAAACCTAAACAGCAATTATCCTGCATTTTATACCCAAAATCTAAGTAGTCATCAAAAACCTAGAAATCATTCAAACCACAATAAACCTGAAATGAGACAAATTGATCTAACTAATATAAAAAAGCACAAAAACAGATAGGCAACTAAACCTAAAGACGAAAAATCAGAGTTCAGTTCAACAGGATGAATACAAAAAACTTAATAAGTCAGAAAAACAAAATCAAAGCGAACAAACCTGATATCACCGGAGGATCGCTGAATTATAAAAATGAAAAAAAAAAGAATTCAGAGGAAGAGAGAGAGAGATAGGAGAGATTTGGAGTTGAGGAGGGAAAATGAAATTGGGGGGCCGCCTAGGGTTTTGTTTATGGACTTTTTGAATTTCTTTTGCAGTAAAATTGCCCGCCAAATTTTCTACACCGTATATTATGGACACGCGGCTTGTTTTAATTGGAAGATTCTGGCTAGTGACATGTCCGAGTACAGAACCCTATGTTGTTCTATTACTGGGTCCCATCATACGGCGCTAGAGAGATTCGGCTCTACTGGCAAGCATCAAATATGCTGTATATAAGCTAGAGAAATCCAGCTTGATTGATTCACATTATTTTTTTTATTTTCATTTTTTACTCATTTTCAATCATACATTTTTTAATAAAATAATATTTTTCATCACATTAATAAATTTTCCTTCTTTTTCAACCACATATTCTCCATCACATCGACAGTAAAAATGCATTATTACCTTCAAAATGTGAACCAAACATGGGCTCAATGATGCAACTATTTCTCAATAGTTATCGAATTTCAATTTTTAAAAAACGGAATTTGTTTCTGAATGGTGACTGGACTTCAAAATTTTAGTTCCTGTTTCAGTCACATTATATTTCTCATTCTCATTATTCTACTAATTTTCAATCAGACATTTTTCAATAAAATAATATTTTCCATCATATCAATAAATTTTCCTTCTTTTTCAATCACATATTCTCATCACATCAACCAAAAAAATGCATTCTTTCCACAAAAATGCCTATCAAACAGAGGCTTAATAAAGAACCTTAGAAAATACGGTGATTATTGAGATTTTTAACCCGAAACGCTAAGGCCATGAAAGGATAATTAACACAATTATTTAGAAATCCATTTACTCCACAACGTAGACAAAAATCTGACAAAGTTAAAAGTATAATTTAAGCTTGTCAAAAAAAAAAAAAAAAATTGTCAACATGTTTTGTAGGCCTATAAATTACTATTCACTTATTATCTAAACATTTTGTAAGATTCACAAATTATTAAAAATTCGTCCTATTATTATGCTCATGTTTGAATCCCATTTTTTGATAAATAATACATTTTGGAATTGTAGATTGGGAGATAATTAAAAAATAAAAAAAAGTTTTAAGTTTGCGTGTAATATTATTTTATTAAAAAATGTGCAATTGTAAAGAAAAAAAATTAATGTATTTTAAAAATAATAAGAATCAAACAAAGATATCTTGTTCGAGACAAAAAGTTTGAATTGATGTTTGAATTAGTGAAAAAATAAAATAGAATTGTCAAATTTACGTCAAGTGGGCATTTTTACTCGATTGTTTGAGCTCATGAGAAATGTAGGAAATGAATGCCTTAAGACTATTGAATCTTAGAGATGGCAACGGGGTGGGGGCCTGCCACTCCCCTATCCCGTCCCGCCCCACCTTAGATGGAGTTGGGCGGGTTCGGGGTCCGAGCTCGCCCTGTTTACTGTCCCAATTATTTATTTATTTTTCAAACATTTTCAATTAACTATTTTTTGTTTTTAATTTGTAATTAATTATTTTTTTTATTTTTCACAGGGACGGGTTCGGGGCGTTTCAGGGCGAGGCACCCCTCCTCGCCCTGCCCCACCCCACCAACTTGTCAAGACAGATTTTTTTTGCCCATCTCGTTTTTTTACCATCACTACTATTGATTGAGATATATTGTCAAAATCTAGTAACTGTCAGCCCATTAGAAGCTGACTACGATTATGACCTGGGTACATGGCATGACATGGTCCACTTGCAGGTATTGCGTGCTATCAGAATTTGGACAAGCAACACTTGAACGAATTTTAACTCGATTCAAAGTTAACTCTAACTCTGGTTCACATTTCATTTGCAAAGTCAGGCACACGAGAGAGGCACGTGGTTGCAGTTACGGATATGACTCAGCAGTCGACCTGCACTTTGGGTAGTTGACATACAAGGCTTCATGGTCAGTTTTATGCCCCTGTTTGAGCTCTTTTTTGGGAAAAGTTAGTTTTGTAATAATGATTTTTAGAAGAATTTGTAGTTGTAAAGTAGAAAAAATCGAAATTACGTGTAAAATTATTTTATAAAAATATGTGTGATTGAAAATGAATTAAAAAAAAAAAAAAAATGGGGTTCAAACTAGGACTTGGTGTGATTGGTTCTAATTGGTATGATCCGTTGAGTGTGTCAACTGCACTAACATCTGTATGACAATGGCTGACTAATGACACAAAATAGAGTGTTGTGGCCTTCCAGATTTTCTCTAGTATTTTATTTTTTTTAATGCTTGGCTACATAGAATTGAAAGTAATTCCCATAAATGTTCTGTCCCTATCTCTTCAGCCCTGTTGGGGTTCCATTTTATTAAAAATACATTTTTCTCACTTTTTTCGAATATACATTTTTCAATAAAATAATATTACACGTAAATTTAAAAAAAAAATCTTCTTTTTTAGCGATACTTTCTTCAAAAAATTGTTATTCCAAAATATTTTTTTCCACAAAATTTGATTTCAATGGGGCCCAAACAACTCAGTGTCATCATTAGTCTGAAATTTTCGCAAGTATTGATTGGCCTTTTATTGTGTGATAATTTGTTATGAGGGCTTTGGATGTAATGATGAAACTTAGAGGATCGGGTGTCCAATTTGGAGGACTTCATTAGTGCCAGAGGTTACACAATTACATTGATAAGTGTATTGCGTATGCTTATCTAAGTCATTAAACTAGAGTATGTGTTAGTGATTCGCATAAATTATAGCTTAATTAAGTGTCAATTATGTTTGTTAGTTTAAACTCAATGTTTGAGAGTGAAATTGGAAGAAAAAGAAAGGAAAAACAGGCAAGAACGAAAGAAATTTAAGGTTTGAAAATCAAAGTGTAAACATCCAATAGTTTATTTAGACCACAAAACGATTATTAAAGATCACATGGGATCAATTGAATACAATTGAAGGTCAAACGAGAGAATTATAGTTAAAGTTTTTTCACAAATCAAATTTCAGTTAAAAAGTTATGCTCCGAATTTATTTTTTTCTCGAGTCTAGACCCATTTTTCAGATAGCAACCTTCGAATTGGAGAAATGTTATTTGTAGAAGAATTGTATCTCTTTGAATTATCTTTTCAACGTATTTTGAATCGCCTCAATGGATATCGGGAGATAAATTTATGACAAAAATAGGGACAACTAACGAAATCGCTTGAACGGCGCGTCGCATTCCCTTGTGCAATATCAACCCGAGAGCAATTCATCTTGCCTGTGCACCCACGGGCCAAATTTCGTCGAAGGACCTGTTTTACATTTTTGTTTGAAACTTTTTCGAAACTAAAATTCAACGTGATTTTTGCCTAATTTTTGACTCCTATAAATACAAAAAGTTGTCCATGCATTGAGAGAACTCTCTTGCTTCTTTAGACACGATAATATCATCAAATTCATCAATAACAATAAGAAAAATCATCGCTTTTGAGGGGTTAATACCCTAAATAGTCATTGAACTTTGCCAAAAGTTCCGAAGAGGTCACCAAATTTCAAAAGTTCCCTAAATAGTCACTAAACTTTGTAATAAGTTCCTAGGAGGTCACTGAACTACTATTTAGGGAACTTTTGAAGTTCGATGACCTCTTGAGAACTTTTGGCAAAGTTCGGCGACTATTTAGGGTATTAACCCCGCTTTTGAGAGAGGAAATCAAATCCTGGCAATCAATTATTTAATAGTTTGGACATCAATTAAATAATTAGTTGCTTGTTATAGTGTTTTGCGTCTCACATAAGTTTAGAACACGGTAAAATCAACATATTTGCAATAGATGTTAGGAATAATATTTATCAAGTATGCAATCATATGGATAATCCAAAATTTAATACATTATATTCATTCAAAATCGAATGAGGAATGGATTCGGGTCGTGATTAGAATAGAGTTAATTCATCTTGAAAAATAAAGTTAAATACATTAATTTTATCGACTGTCATGAACGAATGAATATAATTAGATTACAAATCAATAATTGAAATAGATAATAATAAGTGGATTCTAAATCTCATACAATCATTCATTATTTGATGAAATCAATCTTTTACAATCTTCCTAGATTAATTTAATATAAATCAAATCAAAAACTATTTGTGTTACATAACTCGGATTCCATATAAAGTTAGTAAACTTGAATTGAAATTTATTTTCTATAGAACGATAACTTTTCCTATAAATGTTGACGTATGGTTGACTTTATTTTTAGTGATTTGATCGTACGAAACAAGTTAATTTTATTTCTAACAATTAAATTAAGTAAGTATAGCATTCAAAGCATTCGATGTAAAATTGATCTATTGTAGACAAAAAGATCGTTATCATGACTTTCACATTACATTGCGGACCTACGATAAAGATCGAGCATTCAAATCAAATCATTCGAGACAAAAACTCAAAAGTCAAATGAACGAATGATTAAAGCTCGACAACTAATTCTATGCACAAAAAATTCAAATGTCAAATGAATGAATGATTAGACATTTGTAAAAGTATAAATGCTTCAATCTTTAGCAATGAATGACTAAAGCTTCACAACTAATTTTATGCACGAAAATTCACTCTCTAATAAAAACACCTGCATAAAATATTTTTCAAATGTGAGAATTTCAAATTGATATTTAA